AGTCCCGCTATCAGAAGGGCTGGCCCAGTGCCCTTCTCGTTAGAATCTCTGCATGCCCCAGATCCCCTCAAAACTGCTGAGGACAGTAAAACTGAGGGTGGTCTAAACTGTCATCCAGGTGCACAGGACAACTAAGGGTCACGTCAGACCCTGGGGCAGAGGAAGGACATGCGGAGAACTCCAAGGAGGTCTGGGCAGAGGGAGCACTCGGCTCCGTGCTGGCTTGTGACTGGACTGCATGGCATGCAAGGCCACACACTCAGCAGGGGCAGTGGTGTGGGCTCAGCAGGAACTCTGTGCCATCCTTGCAGCTTTTCCACAGATCTAAACTGTCCTGAAAAGCAACTTACTTAAAAAGAAGCTGAGGAGGCCTGAACGGAGCTGGAGCTGAGGTGCTTCTGAGAGGGAGATTTGACCTCAGCCACGCGGCAAGTCGGGCCCAGTGAGGGGTGTCACCATGAGGACACCAAAAGCTACATGGGAACTTTCTGTACTGTCTTTGCAACTTCTCTGAGGATCTAAAATTATCCCAGAATAAAAAGTCCAGTTTTTAAGTGAAGGATATGCAACTATCCTCTGTGACGCCTTATGACTCATTGGATGGTGATGTGGGCAATGGCCAGTTGCCCTGGGCCCCCCTACCCCCACTCGCCCTGCCAGTGTTCTGGAGATGCCACCTCCACCCCGCTTGGGGGCTGGGCAGGGGAGGATTCCTCCACCAGGAGGAACACTGTGTACCTGCGTCATTGGGGTTCCCTGGGAAGCACAACTGGCAATAGGGGGAGATCCGTGTGAGGAGTGGGAGTCCCAGCTCTGCCTGGGCTGCATTGCAGTTCCCACCCAAAAGCCTCACTCAGTGGGTCAGTCTTACTGCTCTTCAGGCCTCAGCGGATGGGATGAGGCCTACCGAGTCTCAGATGGTCCCCTGCCTTCTGCAGTCTGCCCACTCACACGTAAATCTCATCCCCAAACTCCCTTGCAGAAAGTCCAGAGTAATTTTTGGCCAAATATCTGGACACCTGGCCCGGCCACATTGACACATAAAATTAACCATTGCAGACCCAGCCTTTTCACCTCGGCACCTGTATGCATCTGCTTGGACCACGCTCAAGGATGACAACAGGTCAGACTTCCATTAACTCCTTGCAGTGGTCCCGCGGACACCAAGCATGCTCACTCTCTCCCCAGAAGAGGCCTGATTGTGGGGAGCCGAGGACTTCCAAGCTGGGGTGTGGCCAGGTGGGGTGGCCTTCCCTGCAACCCTGGCTTCCCTCCCATGTCTGCTCCTTCCAGGTCTTGGGTGGTGACAGCACTATGCCCAGCCTCCTGCTCTGTAAGCTGGTGCCCCTGCCTCGGGGTCCCAGGCCCTGCACAGGGCTGGTCGTGAGCAGAGATGCTGCAGCTTCCTGGCGCCATGAGGAGCAAAGGTTTCTTTGTAGACCCTGCTGTTTGTTCCTTTCTATCAATCTGATTTGCTTTATTTGAAATTTCAGTGCCTGTTCTCGGTCCCCCAAACACACTCGAAATGAATCCTTAAAAAGTGGGATGGAGGCTCGGCGCCTGTGGCTCAAGTGGCTGGGGTGCCAGCCACATACACTTAGGGTGGTGGGTTCAATTCCAGCCCAGGCCTGCCAAACAACAATGACAGCTGCAACCAAATAATAGCCGGGTGTTGTGGCGGGCGCCTGTGGTCCCAGCTACTTGGGAGGCTGAGGCAGGAGACTCGCTTGAGCCCAGGAGTTGGAGGTTGCTGTGAGCTGTGATGCCACGGCACTCTACCCAGGGGGACAGCTTGAGGCTCTGTCTCAAAAAAAAAAAAAAAAGTGGGATGGAATATTTAAGGGTGAATCTGAGGGAAATACTTGAAATTAGTTTGTGGACATGAAACAGCCATGTCCTTGCTGTTGCTTCTGCCCACATCATCTTCATGATTTTAATTTTCTATCATTTAGTGTAATGTTTGACACACACCAAGAACATGTCCTGATTTTGGGGAGGAGGGTGGTCAGAAGCCATTGCTGTCTAGAACTGGAAATTAGGTGTTCACTTACTAGAACAATTTTGTCACGTGACTGTGACATGTAAAACAATATTTACTGTTTATTTTGCTTATTTTGTTGGCTTTATAACAAGGTATCAAGCTTACCCAGCCCTGGGGTGGCTTCGGCTGCTGTAAAGATGTGTCTGGGCTGTGGCTGGGACTGGGGGCAGCTTTTCCCAGGATCTGTGTTCCATGGATACCACACACCTATTTGTCCACAAACTAGGGATCTTCAGACACTGTTGAACACTCCCCGAGGCCTCAAGTTAGTTTCCCTGAGGCCTTGATTTAGGAGCAGAGGAACTGCCGGCTGTAGGGAAGAAACATGTCCGTGTGGTCAGGCCTGGGAAGGGGATTAGGGGGCAAGCAGTGCTCTTGGTCCTCCTGGGGTCTGGGGAGGTGGGGACTGGTTTGTGCCGAGCACTCAGGAGCAAAGGTGACCTGGTGGGTTTACCCAGTTCCTCAAGAAGCTGAACTTATGGTCTTTCTCTGTCATGTTTCTGTGGCTTTCTTTTGGCTGGTCCTCAGAAGTTGGTCAGCACCCCAAATTCTGAACCTTCATCCCTCAGGGGTATGAGTGCAGCCCCCCTCATGCACCGTGGTATCCAGATGCTTCCTACGCTTTCACCTCCTTTCTGGATTCTGCCTTTTCTGCCCTCAGAATTTCCCCCCTTAGGTTAAGGTTATTAACATTTTTTCCTATTTGTGAGTGTTTAATTTTAAATTAATTAAAATGAATTTAAGTTTTTGCTGCTCACCTTTACATTCCTGTTCTCTGAGGATGCAAATACATGTGTGGTGTGAGGCAGGCGTCTTCTGCATTCCATTTTCTGGAACAGACACTACTGCCTGGGCAACTGACACAGAATGTTTTGGGAGCTGAAAGTCTTGAAAGTGCCACTGGCGTAGGGGGCCTGGGGAGGGTTGTCCCCTTGTGATGTACTCATGTGGTGGTTGGGGAGTGAGAGAGAGACAGCCCTCTGGTGTCTCTTATTGTAAGGACACTAACCCTGTGGGATCAGGGCCCCACCCACATGCGCTCAATTAACCTGAATTACCAACTTTGTGGCTCCATCACCAAAGACGGCCACATTGGGGTTAGGGCTTCCACATGTGAATCAGGGGACACAATTCAATTCAACAAGCAGGGGTTCAGGATGATAAGCCATCACTGTTGGTCCCAGCCACCTGTCACATCTGTGCCCCCACATCATGTCTTGCACCCCACCTGTCATGTCTGCATCCTACCTGTCACATCTGTGCCCCATCACGCCTGCACCCCACTTGTTATGTCTGCACCTCGCCGTTGGTAAGTCTGTTTATTCTGCTGGGGACTCCTTAACAAGCATCAGCCTTGAGTCTCTACTTCTGGTGGCTTTACTGGTAGGCCAGCCAGGTGGGCATATTTTTACACTCTCAGGACCTGTGCCAAGAAGCAATCGCACCCAGCACCTGTCCTGGTCTGTCCCTCATCTGTCTAACTCTAGTCCTTTAGGCGTGAGGGACATCTGTCTTCAGGATGTCAGACCTGCAGAGACCCAGAAGTGGTGGGCTTCCCCTGGCAAGCTGGGCAGGGCGGATGTGCCCTGCCACCACCATGAACGGAACGGACCCACTGAATCCCCCTAAGCTGAAGGGCAGGTAGAGCAGGGTCACTGCCTTTTCCAGGTGAGGTGAGAAAGGGCAAAACCTCCCAGCCCCACATCTATGTCTCACCTGTCTCATCTGTGCTTCCCCCCGCCCCCATCCTGGCCTGGCCTGGTGCTGGTCTGGGTGTCTCTCTGAGGCAGGAAGCCTTTGGGGGTCACTGGCTGACACTCAAGCTTTGGGGCCTGGAGGAAGGGTTGTGGGGCTGAGCCTCCCGCTGGTTCTGAGGTTGCATGTCTCCTGGGCTCCTCCCAAAGGAACACTGTCTTCCTGGATTCCCACTGAATCTCCCATTTAAAGGGCGAGAAGCAGGTTTTGGGATCTTTCTGACCTGATTTCAGCAGGTTCCAGCCAGAACTGGAAATTTGCTTATTTTAAAAACATTCCATTACAATTTCCACTTTAGGGTATTTGTGGCACTTTCGTCAGGCTCATGAAAGTCTCTTTTACTGCGGAATTTTATAAAAGCATAAAGCTTCTCATTGTACGTTGTATTTCTGAAGATTTCTGCTCACATACATTCATTTCAAGGTGTTCTGGAGAGGCAGAGTCAGAGCACTTTTGAGCAAGAGAGTAAGACCAAGCGATGTCACAGATGCAGCTCTGGTGTTTTTAATAAGCAGTGCTCCTCTTTTGAATTCAAATTATTGAATGTGTGTTATGAAAATCATGTTTTGGTAACTTGCAATTTAAGTCATGCTGGGTTGGCTTTGCTTCTGCCCTGAGATTTCTTAGGCTAGGGGCCGCTGAGCAGGGGCGCCCCGAGGCTTCTCACGCCTGATGAGGGGTTGAAGTGATGTCAGTTAAGCCCAGCATTGTAGGCTGACCGTGGGCTCCAGCGTGGCGTCCGCCATCCCTCCTCGGAGGGTTGTGTGTAAACATCATGGCCCATTTGAACCACGTCCCTGTGTGGAAAAAAGGGCCGGGTGTTCTTGGAGCTGCCCAGAGGGTAGGAGGGTGGAAAAGAAAACAAGCAGAGAACAGACGGGGCTTGGAATCTCGTTAGCCTGGATGATTGCACAGCGTGGCCACCCGTGAGCAGCCATCCTCACGGGAGATGCTGCCTGCCCCGCACAGATGCCCGGATAATACTCCTTCCCTTCAGCAGCCACAGCCGTGACCTAAGAACCATGTGAGGGGCATAGGGGGCAGCCCCAGGGATGCAGCCATCTCAGTGCTGGAACACCGTGGCCTTGGCTATAGCCTCCTGGGCAGGGGTGGCCATCCCCAGCTACACCTGGCTTGAGGGAGCAGGGCTCACAGGCCAGGCCCGTGATATTGTTTCTTTATGCCTTTCTTTCCTCCCTTCTAGAATCCATCTACCGCCGGGGCGCCAGGAGATGGAGGAAGCTGTACCGCGCCAACGGCCATCTCTTCCAAGCCAAGCGCTTTAACAGGGTGAGCAGCCCCTGGGCCCTGGGGCCTCTATGTTGCTTTACCAGCCAGGAGGAGGGAGGGATGCACCCCTGCAGAAACCCAGCTCTGACACAGAGTTGCTACTGGGAGCGTCCTAGACAGTGCAGGGCCAGGAGAGCCCAAACCTTGTCAGGCAGGGATTGGGGGCACGGGGCCATGGGGTGCTGAGTGCTGGGGACAAGTGGATGTTAGTGAACAGGCAGCCCTCTAGAGATCAGGACAGTGTGGCTGGGGGAACACATGGCGGGTGTCTGGAGGCTGTGGTGCCAGGGCACAATGCACCCAGGAGTCGGCCATAGCTCCAGCCAGAGCCGACTGCTCCCCAGTCCCCTGCAGTCCTGGCCCACACTCTGCCCCCTAGCCTCTTGGGCCTGCCAGAAGAAAGCATCACAAACCTGGCAGCTTCAGCCACAGACTTTCCTGTGGAGGCTGGAAATCCAAATTCCAGGAGTAGCAGGGCTGGGCCCCTCCGACAGCGTGGGGGGAGGACCCTCCTCTCTCTGGCTTCCGTGGGTTGCTGGTGGTCCTCGTTCTTCCTCAGCTTGTGGGGGAATCACTCTAGGGCAGTGTTTTGTTTTTTTTTTTAACTTTTTTTAATCTCCCAGCACAGTTAAACCTATAGTTAAACGTCTATGGCTCACTTAAATTACGTTGATCAAACAAAAGAGTTAAAAAAATATATATATACTTACTGTGCTTTGGAGTTCTTTCGAAAATAATTTGATGATCTTTTAAAAATGTTTGCCGCACACCTAAAGTCCTCTAAAGGCACACACACCACTTGCTGCCGCACCCGGTCGAAAATCACTGCTTTAGTTTCTGCTTCCTGCCCTGACCCGGTGTGACCTTGTTACAGCTGAATTGATCACATCTGCAAGGACCCTTCTTCCTAATGAGTTCACATGTGAGGGTCTCAATGGACCCGTCTTTGGGGTAGGGAGGACACTGTTCAGCCTACTAGGTGCCAGCCTTGGGGCCTTTGCACATGCTGAGCTCGTTGCCCAGACTCCCCTCCCCTCGCTTGTTTCCCCTCCCTTCTCCTCCCTTCCCTTTTCCCTTCCCTTCTCCTCCTTTCCCTTTCTCCTTCCCTTATCCTGCCCTCCCTTCTCCCCTCCTCCACCCTCCCCTCCTCTCTCTCAAGTTCTTGAAGCCCAGACTCTCCCTCATTTTCTATCTCTGCTCAACATCCATCCCAGGGCCCCTTCTCTGTGCCTCCAAGTTTCGGTCACTCCTGCTGTTCCTTGTGGCTTTGTATACTCCATGAGGGCCAGCTGTGTCCCCAAGCTTGGCATGTAGTGGGGCACGTTAAACACTGGCTTCTCCTCTATCATAATGAATGATAGGAGAAAAGTCGCTTGAGGACACTGGGAGGCTGCACCATGGATCTATAATGGGAGTGTCTGCCAGGAATGAGCAGGGCTCTGGGAACCACAGCGGGCCTGGGAAAAGCTCAGCATGCACCAGACGCAGTGAGGAGGCCCCACCGTGCAGCCAAGCAGCCTCGGGAGGCCCCAGAGTCTGCTGCATCCAGGATAATGGGCCCACCAACAGAGTGGGGACATGGAGATTTGCAGTGAGCCAACTGGACACACGGGAAGGAAGCTGACCACTGAACATGGGGAAACACACAGGTGTCCCATCCCTGGGACTCAAGGCACCTGCTACCTGTCCCGAGTTTATGTTTAAAACAACCAACCAGCCAGCCAGTCCTGTGGCCCAGCAGCTTCTCTCTCTCTGAACCTGAGAACTAGCTCAGTTCTGGCTTGGGAGGGGGTCGCAGGCAGCTCTGACAGCCAACCCACCAGGACATGAGAGAGAAAAGTCTAGAAGTGTGGCCCTCATATTTGCCACTGGTGAAATGCTTGTTTCCTTCCTTTCTGGCTGACTGATTAATCCAAGACAATCAGCAGGTTCATGGGGTGAAAGTCCTTTTTGCCCACGGCAGGTGCAGACCATACGTGATGCTCCATACCCCACCTGCCTGCACCAAACCAGCCAGCAGGCGCTTTTCCTTCCTGGGGACAATATGGGTGGGCTCACTGCAGTCCCCACCCATTAGTGACTTGGCTCCCTGGGGTGTGAATGAACAGTTCTCACAAACTCAGCCAGGACTGGAGAACCCCCACAGAGTTGTTGACAAGAGGAGGTGCCGGCTCCCACTTCCATCAGCGCTGAGCTCCCCACCTGGCCGTCCTTGGGTTTCTGACTCTGTTTCACCTGTGCTCTTCTCTGCCCAGACCCCGGTGGCTGCTCCAGGTACCACTGGCCCTACTTGGTTACAGGACTGCTCGGATGACCTCACTTCTCACTTAAAAGGGGCATTTCAAGAGCTATGTGGTAGTTCTGTGGGAATCTGCAAGAAGAATTTCCCATGTTCTTCATTGGTGATCCAAGGACCGAGCAAGTGGGCGTCAGGTCACCCTGGACCCTGGGCTCTGCTGGGTCTTTAGCCACACATGAAATAACTTCCCCAGACCTTCAGGATGAACAGGCTCAGCTGAGTGAACCAAAGGCCAAGATTCTGGAGGCGGCCAGGCGGGGCCCCTCCTCCCCAGCATAGGATGGCCCTGTGGTTCCCGGGGTGCCCCTGGCATGGGTGGGAACCAACTGGCCAGAGTCTGGCCCCTGTAAAGGAGGAGGGAAGGGTCACCCTAGTAATTATGGCAAGACAAATGGTTAATGATCAGCTAGGAAGAGGCTGGGGGTGGGGATTAATCAGAGTAACTGCAGGTAACTGCTGAGGTTAAAACAATCCTAACACCCGGAGGCTGGTCTCCAGAGCAAATCTGGGCAGTGGGGACCTGAGGGGTCTTAGGACATTTCAGATTTCTGTGGTTTCCAAGCAAGTCAAGTACAAAAAAAAGCATATAGGAAAAATGTTTGTGGCAAAGAAGACCTAGAAGAAAAGATCAAAACTTACGCCCAGAATTACGAGCATCTACAAACTGGCGTTCTGGCAGACACTGAGGCTCTGCAGCAGAGCGAGGTGTGACGCCTGTGGAGGCGAGATTAGCTGTTCATGAACAGAGACACCCGACTTCCTCAGGCACCCAGGGAAACAAGACATCCCCTGCCATCGACAAGATGTCAGAGGCAACTGATGCCGGTGCTGCGTGTGGGGTGGTGGGGTCTGCAAACTGGGGGCAGGGTGCGCCTGGACCCCATTTTCTGGAAATCACCTAGGAAACACACATTGGCAGCTCTGGGCTGCTCCAACCTGCGTCTGTCTGAAAGAAATAACCCGTCATTCACAGGTTTCCTCAGCATTATTTTCACGAGTGGGGACAGCATCTGGAGCTACTGTCGCCCCTATGCTGTGACAAACCACACCACCACTCAAGGGCATGAGCCCCCGGCCTGCCCTTTGCTGGGGCACATGGCTGCTCACGCTACACAGGGACCGACTGGGCAGGCAGCCCAAGGACTTTGGCCTCTGTTATGAGTGGACAGGAAGCAGAGGAGAGATCACTTGGGTCCCTGGGAAGGAAGAGTTGGTAGAGAGGGAAGATGGGGCAGGGCGGGGCCCTCAGGGGTGGCAGAACAAGCACAGGCACTCTTCAACCCCGCCTCGAAGGATCCTGCAGATAAAGGAACATGCCTCTGAGTTCACAGTCAAAAGCCATGAAATGCAGAGGGAGGCCGGGCTCCCTGAGCAGAGCTGGCGGAAGCCTGCACTGAGGCTTGGATGGGTTGAATATGAAATACGTGTTGAATATGTTTAAAAAATTAAAATGGATGATTGCAAATATGAGCAAGGAACAAACTGGCAGCATTTAAGACAGACTTAAAAATATTTTTGCCTCGTTAATATATTAATTCATGTGAATTTCTGAGAAGAGAAACTCCAGTTTTAGGTTCTGTTGTATTTTTTAATGGCACATTTCCTGAAATGTTAATCATTCAAATACAGATTTGAAATAAAAAGCCTTTGGCAAAGCTTTGGCCGCCTCCCTGAGAAGCACATACACGAGCTATCTGTGGCTAGGGTGATGCCTGGCAAATTCATGATGCTGTTGGTCAGTGGTCGTTCTAGCCTGACCAAGGCGGGGCAGGGCGGGGCCCCCAGGATGGCTCTGTAAGAAAAGGAATCTTTGTTAATTTGTAAAGACGACCTGGTGCCTGTGAATTTGCCCCTAAATATGATCCAAGCATTGCAAATTAAGGTGTCAAGCTAAACACATTTAGCACATGTTATATCATAAATGGCAGCTGGTGTTCTTCAGGCCGAGGGTACAAAAGTGAGTCAGAGCCAGTTTGCATGGCCAGAATCCCTCTAAATTCAGATTTCACGCATTCACCCCTTACCCTGCCTACATGCGTGCAGATTCTGGTGTTGGTGTTAAACTAGATTGGCCCTGAGTCGGAGGTCTTTGGGGTGCCCCCTCAACCCATCCATGTTCAGCCCTCTCGATCCTCCCCTGAGTTTCTGACCATCCCAATGAAGAGCCCACAGCCTTATTCATTACCTTGCAGAAAGGCTGATTCAGGTGACATGCGGAAGACCCAGGATCAGCGTTTCTTCCTGTTACTAATTTTAAAGGTGATAGGGGTGTGTGTACATTTGCTGGGCACTGCCCTAGGTACTGGTTATGTGGCCCTGACCAAAATGTGCAAGCTTGTATCTGTGGTGGGGGTGGGCCCTGGGTCCTAGAGTCCCCAGCTGTGCCCCATGTCTGTTGCCCGCAGGCAAGTGGGGCTTTGAGGGCCAGGGTGCTGATCCTGTTTGCTTAGCAGCACCCTGCCCGCATGCATGGGGGTTTGGTCAGTTTTAACTGAGTTGCATTCAGACTATTCACAGTACACTATATTCCTTTTTACTCTTAATTTAGGGATAATTCAAGACTCTCTACAAAGAAAGAAATTGTTGAAAATGGTGAGGAGGATAAAAACACATAAAGGAATTATGACAGGAAAAATCTAAATGGGGGCTCCAATGTAAATGTTGGTCTGTGCGGACATGCCCGTGACTACACAGACAGCTGGGTAACTGGGTCCTGACATGTTCATCCTCCTGCATTTTGTAAAATTTAAAAATCCATGGAAACACCACCAAACAAGCTGATAATTATCATTAATTTCCAGTTGTTTAGAAACATGAACAACAAAGAAAGATCATTTGACATCTTGAAAAATACTGGGGGAAAAACTAAGATAATTGCAGACTTGCCCCATAGCAGTTCAAAATTTGTATTAGTCAGATTGCCAGGCAGAGTCGTTTGCTCCAAGGTCGTCAGCCAGGGAGATGGCCTGTTTGAACGAGGGTAGGCAGGGGCCTCCCTGTGCTCCCCGTGGCCTGGGTTGTTCCACCCAGAGGACCCCTCCCACCCCAGCCCCTGCAAGCAGGCAAGGCCTTGCCTGAGTCTCACCATGCCTGCTGGTGGGGTTTCACCTGTACCCCTCACACAGAGCAGGGTCCGGGCCTCTTGCTGGGGCCACCAGTTTCTCAACCTTGAGGGACCTAAGAGGGAGCAGCTGAGCTTGTACAAGTCCAGTGCCCAGAAGTACCCAGGAGCTGAGGCCATCTCTTGCCCCAGCTCTAAGTAATATTTTGAGAAAATCAGTGAAAGTGCACAATGCCCTTGTTCCTCCTGGTCCCCTCAGTGTGGCCAGGGATCTGGGGCCTGATGGCCACTGTTCTCACCCACAGAGAGCGTACTGCGGCCAGTGCAGCGAAAGGATATGGGGCCTCGCGAGGCAGGGCTACAGGTGCGTCAGCTGCAGGCTGCTGGTCCATAAGCGCTGCCACGTCCTCGTCCCAGCGACCTGCAGGAGGCATATGGTGAGTCATGGCCAGGCGAGGCCCTGGGGGTGGGACTGGGGCCGGGCCCGTGTCTGAGCTGAACAGTGGCCTGGGCTTCACCGCTGAGAGGGATATTGATACTGTTCCTGCCGCTGACCAGACAAGAGCAGGGGTGCCTGAAGATTGCAGGAGGGCAGCCTAGGGCATCAGTCTGGACAGGCCTCTCTTCCTGAGCCCCCATGAACCCATAGTACCTCTGCTAGGACGGGACATGGGGGAGGGCAGCTACATCCCTACCCGAGTTGGGGGTCACCTCTACTGGGGGTCTGACCCCAGCAGCTCTCTGAGAAGCAACCTGCCAGCAACACCCTCCTTCTGCCCTTGAGTGGCTTCATGTGAAGAGTCCAGGCCCTTGGGGACATCAGTGACCAGCTTTTCCTCACTGAGCACCTAGGCCACCCCTGGTGTGGGACACCTGACCCACTTCTGTCTCTGTGAACCGTGGGGCATCCTCCAGGCCTTGAGCATGAGGGTACCCGTCCAGGAGGGTTGGCTCATCTGCGTCTTGCCATACTGGGGGGTGGGAAGGTACCCTGGGAGCAATGTGCCCTCCCCACTCTCACAGGATAAGAGCAGAGTCCAAATCCAGATCTTACCCAGACATCCCTGAGCACAGGGACATAGGGTGCCCATGCAGACCAGTGTTCCTAGCTACGTCTGCCAAAAGCTGCTAAGACTTGAAATACCCTGTGGCCCCCTAGGTCTACTTTAGCCTGAGTAAATGAAAACATCCCAGATGTTGGTCAGTCTCATGCTGGGGAAGCCAGCCCTTGCTCCTACATGGTTACCAATAGGAACTCTCTCACTTATGACACGTCAGCCGTGTGGAACCCTGCGGGCCTTAGAGTGACATTCAAATGTGTGGTCACCGCCAATGCACACCAAGCCCAGTGTTCGGAGTGGGGAGGTTACCAGGTGCTATGTCAGATTTCCTTTCTATAAAGCACCTGATGGAGGGATCACAGCCCAAGGTACTGAGTGGTCTCCTCTGCCTGTATAATCATAGGTAATTTATGTTCTTGTATATTCAGTGGATTCCCAAAGCAATTATGTTTTTATACCTATGTTAAAGTATATACATCATGGCATGCGTTGTGGGAAGTCCTGTCGTGCCCACAGATGCTGTGGCGTAATAGCGTCTCTGTCTCCCTGGCAGGATTCTGTCATGCCTTCCCAAGAACCTCCAGTAGATGACAAGAACGGCGACGTGGACCTTCCTTCTGAGGAGACAGATGGAAGTAGGCACTGCGTTCTCCTGCCGGTGGAGCTGGGCTTTTCCTTTACCTGCTCAAGTCTGATTTCAGGGAGAGTAGCTGTCTCCCTGAAGGGCTGGGCATGATGCTGCCCAGAGCCTCCCTCAGTCCCTGCCAGAGATGGGCAGGACAATGGCCTTCCTTGGTGACTGCTGGGCAGTGGCATCTTCATGAAATGCTATGCTGGAGTCTGGGGGTACAGGGTCTTTCCTGAGCTGCTCTGGGAGCTCTAGAAGGCACTCAGTGCAGCGGCGCCCACAGCTGGGCACCTGGCACAGCCTGTGCTGCAGAACTGACCCAGCACCACGGAAAGGCTGATGGGCCGCTTGCCGTACAAGGCATGACAGCTACGTGGTTCTTGGTGTTGTAAGTTTTTATGTGGGGAAAGAGACTTTATTTAATGCTAAGAAGCCTTCAGAGAGAGGCTTCAAATACCAGTTGCACTGATGGCTCAGCTCTGAGCTTCCGTGTAACTGTGGACTATTACAGGAGTATGTGAAGGCTCTCACTGTCATTTGATAAATATGAGCTCTGTCCCCTGGGGAACCCTCGCAGAATGAAATGCGACCACAGAACAAAAAGCATTTCGTATATACAGTGCCTCTCATAAAAGAGATTCCTAACAAACAACTCTTCTCCCACCCATTCTTCATCCATCCGTCATCTTTCCATCATCTATTATTCATCCCTTCATCCATCCATCCATCATCCTTCTATCCATCCAGCAACTTTCCATCCATCCATCCAGCCATCATTCATCATCCATCTATCCATCCATCACCCTTCCATCTATTATTCATCTCTCCACCCATCCGTCTATCATCCATCATCCATCCTGCCATACATCTATCTATTATCCATCCGTCTGTCATCCTTCTATCCATCCATCCATCCATCCATCCATCATCTTTCAATCCATTTATCCTTCATCTTTCTATACATTCATTCATCATCTTTCCGTCCATTATCCATCCATCATCTATCCATCATCTGTCCATCCATCTGTCCATCATCTGTCCAACATCATCCATCTATCATCCGTCTTCCATCTATCCATTATCTATCCATCCATCATCTATCTTCCATCCATCCTCAATCCATCCATCATTCTTCTATCCCACATATTTCCATCTAGCCATTATCTATCCATCATGAATCATTCATCTTCCATCCATTATCTATCTATCCATCCATCTGTCCATCCATCATCCATTCATTATCCTTCCATCATCTATTATTCATCTCTCCACCCATCCATCATCCTTCTATCCATTCATCATCTTTCCATCCATTATCCACCCACTCATCCATCCATCATCTACCTATCATCTCTCATCTATCCATCATTCTTCCATCCGTCCATCCATCATCTATCTATCAGTCTGTCATCCACCCACCCACCCATGTATTCATGCATGCACCCACCCATTTACCCACTTACTCTTAGGATGAAAAATTGGAAGTCTAGACACCAAAATCTTTTCACTGATTATTTCTAGAGAAGTCACTGGGGAAGTGTGTCACAAATGCAGATGCCCAGGCTCCACCCCATGTTTAGAGTCAGCAGGTGTGGCTAGAGCCCAGGAAGCTGCATTTGCCTAGACTCTAAGCCAAACTCAGATGTGGCTGCCACTCACCTGGAGCCCAGCTGCCCTAGCAAAGGAACGAGAGCCCTGGAGGCCTCTGTGTTCTTGGGCCAGTGATGTCGACACCTGTAATGTCCTTTTCTTCCTCCCCCTCTTCACCAGTTGCTTACATTTCTTCAACCCGGAAGCATGACAGCATTAAAGATGATTCTGAGGTTAGTGTGCAAAATACTTCACTAAATTTCCAAAGTTCATGAGCTCATTTCTGGGGCAGTTATGAAAATGTGGATATGACTGGACATGTTATGCAGTTGGCACTGACCATCGGTGGGGTCTGGGTCTTGTTCTCAGGCTTGGCTCTGGTTGAGGCTATGTGGTCTCCCCGGCATCCTCTCCACCCAACCACACGGTGGGTCTGGGGACTAGGTTTTTATTTTATTTTATTTTTATTTTTTCATTTTTTATTTTATTTTATTTATTTTTTGTAGTAAGACTCTATCTCACTTTATCACCCTCAGTAGAGTGCCGTGGCATCACACAGCTCACAACAACCTCCAACTCCTGGGCTTAGGCGATTCTTTTGCCTCAGATTCCCGAGTAGCTGGGACCACAGGCACCCGCCACAACACCCGGCTATTTTTTTGTTGCAATTTGGCTGGGACCACGTTTGAACCCACCACCCTTGGTATATGGGGTCGGCGCCCTACCCACTGAGCCACAGGCACTGCCCTATTTTATTTATTTATTTATTTATTTATTTATTTGAGACAGAGCCTCAAGCTGTCCCCCTGGGTAGAGTGCCGTGGCATTACAGCTCACAGCAACCTCCAACTCCTGGGCTCAAGCGAGTCTCTTGCCTCCACCTCCCAAGTAGCTGGGACCACAGGCGCCCGCCACAACGCCCGGCTATTTTTTGGTTGCAGCCGTCATTGTTGTTTGGCGGGTCCGGGCTGGGGATTCGAACCTGCCACCTTAGGTGTATGTGGCTGGCGCCTTAGCCGGTTGAGCTATAGGCGCCGAGCCTGCCCTATTTTATTTTATGTTTTTTCAGTTAGGTTACACTGATTGCATTTGTTAAAGTCCCTCCTATAACTGTGTATGGCCACCAAGAGGCGCCAGACACCATGACAGGGGCAAGGTTTTGAACTATAATTTTTGTCAAATTGTGCCTGCAAAAAAGCCTTCCTTTCTTTGCCTTCTTGGGTCTTCCTGGCCTGGAAAGCCCTCTGACCCTTCATGTCATTCCCCGACTTAAACTCACTCTGGCTTCCCATCTGCAGCCAGGTCTGAGTGATAAACCCCAAACAGGGAGCATGAGCTCACCCTGCTGCTCTCGATGTCTGTCATGAAACCCCAAGGAATAGCTGCACCTTGGGAGGCCATAGCCTCCCTAGAGACCAACCAGTGCTGCCACAAGACTCGCTCCTCCTACCTGGCCCCTCTGAAGGAGGCAGGAGCCTCAAAAAGCAGAACCTATTTTCCTCCACAGACCAACTCCCTTCCACCACCACAGTGCCCTTATGAGCAATAAGCAGGAGGTGAGCTTCTGCCCCTGACCTGCTCGCCCCCCTCCATGGTGTGTTTCTGCTAATGCTGAGACCTCTTGGGCAGATCTCGGCAGCAGTAGCTAGTTGTGTTCTGGTTCCCGGGGAGGGCCCAAGGGTGCTCACATGCCCAGGCCACTCCTGGTCCCAGCTCAGATGACCCTGTAGCCAACCCTCCAGCCCAGCCAGATGTGGCTGCAGTCCTGGGTGTCTCAGGTTATATGTGGAGGAGCCACCTACATCTTGTGACCCAAGCACAGTCTGTGGAAACAGCTTTCAGCTCAGTGTTGCCTGCCTTCAGAGGCTATCACGTCAGCTCTTATTTTTTATGTCTTGATTTAGGTGGGCATCAAGGGAGGGTATGTAGTCAGGACACTGGCTCTAAGCTCCGAGGGGCTGGCCGTGGTCAGAATAGGGGTGATTCTGAGCCTCACAGGCCCTCCGTCCTCACTGGCCCTGGTTTCCTCTTCCCCCAGGACCTCAAGCCAGTTATTGATGGGATGGATGGGATCAAAATCTCTCAGGGGCTCGGGCTGCAGGACTTCGACCTGATCAGAGTCATTGGGCGTGGAAGCTACGCCAAGGTCCTCTTGGTGCGGCTAAAGAAGAATGACCAGATCTATGCCATGAAGGTGGTGAAGAAGGAGTTGGTCCACGATGACGAGGTGAGCCTGCTTCTAACTGAGGCCACTGTGCTTTCCCCAGGGACACACGAGCCAGGCTTGTTGGTACATGAGGAAGGTATCCAAGGGCCGATTAATAACTACTATGGGTTTTCATGGGTGAATCGATGCAGTGAGAGTCCCAGTCTTGTATTGATGGGGTGTGTGAGTTGCAAGGTCAGAATACAGTTGTGCATTGCCTAGCGACGGGGCACATTCTGAGAAATCCATCATTAGACTGTCTGGTCGTGCAGACGTCACAGAGAGCACTGAAGTGCAGCAGCCAGTCCAACCTGCTGCTCCCAGGTGTAACCGGTGCTATAGGCCGTTATAACACAGCAGCAATGTTTGCGTACCCAAGTGTCTGAACATAGAAAAGGTACAGTTAAAAATACAGTATTATAGGCCAGGCACATTGCAATCCCAGAGTTTGAGACCAGCTTGAGCAAGAGTGTGACCCCCTCTCTACTAAAAATAGAAGAGTCATTGGGGCAGGGTGGCATCTGTAGTCCTAGCTGCACAGGAGGAGGCTGAGGCAGGAGGATTGCTTGAGCCCAGGAGTTTGAGGTTGCTGTGAGCTGTGATACTCCTGCACACTAGTCTGGGTGCCAAAAAAACACTATTATAATCTTACAGGACACTGTCATGTATGTAGGCTGTCTGAAAATATTGCTTTGCACGTGTGACTAGTTGAGTTTGAGGTTGTCCTCAGGCTTGTGAATCCCTTGAGTTGGGCTGAGCAGGGCATGATGGAGACAACAGGGAGGGGTCCAGGGCTGCTGTCCCCTTCTGCACCATATGCAACCCCAGCCTTGTGGGAAGAACTGAGGAGGGGCAGTGTCCTGCACAAAGCTCCCCGCACCTATTGTCTCTGAGGAAGAAGTTACAGAATCAGTGGTTAATTTGTCCACATCTTAATTCTGACTTCATGTACTTTTCTTTTTAACTGTACATAATTGCACAAAATACACATCAGATTTTTCATGTCAGCCGTGTGAGAGTGTGCCATTGTTGGCATCTAGTACACTGAGGTGTAACATGCCCCCATCGCCTCTGGCTGGTTCCAGGACTTTTCCATCGCCCCAGAGGAGACCCCCTTGCCACCCAACAGTCCCTCTGAGTATCCCTCCTCTGCAGCTTCTGGAAGTCACCAGTCTGCTTTCTGTCCCTTAGCTCCCCTGCTCTGAACACTTATGTGAATGGAGCCATGCGCCGTGTAGCCTTTTGCGTCTGGCGTCTTGGCTCAGTTTGTTGTTTTCAGGGTCCATCCCCGTTGTGGCCCTGTCAGGACCTCGTTCCTTTTTGTGGACACCCCTTGCTTATCCAGTCACCTATTGATTGAAATGTGTGTTGTTTCTACCTTTTGGCTCTGGTGATCTACACTGCTGTGAGTGTTTGTGCACAAGCATTTGTTCGAGCCCATTTTCAATTCTTTTTAGTGTGTACCCAGGAGTAGAATTGCTGGGTCATTTGTTGATTCTCTGAGTTGCTGAGGAGCTGCCAGATTTTTTTTCAGAGCAGCCGCACGTTTTATATTCCCATCAGTAATGCACGAGGGTCGCGGCTTCTGCACAGGCTTGGTGACACTTGTTACTTGTTTTGGAGTCTGTTGTTGCCCTCCTATCTGGCTGTGGCCTTGACCAGTGTTTCTCCAATGACTCATGATGCCCAGCGTTTGTGCACATGCCTGCTGGCTCCGTGTGTTTTGACCTTTGCCTTCATACCTGGACACAGGTCTGTGTCTTAGACGCAGAGAACACTGATGCTGCTGTCATTGAGATGCTGCTGCAAACAGGATCACCTGGTGCCCTAAAGTCAGGGGCACAGGAACCCCACCACCAGCCGGGCTCAGCACTAGAGGGCAGAGTTGGAGCTGGATTGGGGCTCCACCTGCCCTCTCAGCTGGGTGCATTTGTGCAGAGCACAGACTGCCCAATTGGCCCCGCTTCCCTGAGCACTGAGTTCACAAGTGAGTAGGTGTCAGATCTTCATAGCGGAGGGCACTGAGGCCCTGAGAGGTGTGGCACCCCCCGTGGCTCCACCGCTGGTTATCAGCACCATGGGAGTACTCCAGACCCCCTTCTGGCACACTGGCCAGCTGGGAAGTTAATGGAATATATGAGATGAACTTTGCAGAGCCCTGAGAGAAACGGTGCTCAGAACACCATTCTGAGATGAGCTTCACGTCATTTTCTGTGGGGAGGTAGGGACTTGGGGTCATCCCTTGAGAAGAATGTGGCTCTTGGGGTTGTAGAGTAGGAATAGAGTATGTGTGAGTGTGTGCATGTACCTGTGTGAGTGTGCATGTGTGTGTATGTGTAATTGTGCGAGTGCCCATGTGTGCTTGTGTATGTGTATGTGCACGTGTTGAGGGGAGACACTGGTATCTCGTGGCACCACGTCCTAGCCATGGACTCCAGACTTACGGTGCTGCCCCACCAGATGCTGACACTCCTTACGGGCATGAAGGGCTTGCTGCGCTGTCTCTGTGGTTCTCTTTCCCTGTGCTCAGTGTCCCCAGTGCAGCCCTACACATGATGCAGCAGGGCCAGGCCTGGGCCCCCACCGATGCCCTCCTTGCCACTGTGCGAGCTGCCTTCTGCCCCAAGTCAGGCCAAAAGCCTTCTGCTACCCTCCTTGCCCTGATCTTCACTAGGTTTCTGCCTCTTGGATGTGGCTTTGAAATGGCCTGTGGAGACTTGACAGATGCCGTTGGCTCCTACCACCCTTAGGCCCCTGCTTGCTCAGAACTAAGGCTTGAGGGACATGTGAGGCTGTGACCCATGAGGCCTCCTTAGCCTCCTGGGGTCCCAGGACCCTCTCCGCACAGCCCTTCCCTGGCTGCTGCTGGCTGGCAAATGCTTGATAGTTTAGCAAATTCTTTCTCCCAATAAAGAGACCACACTCTGGAGGCCCAGAATTGCTTCGTATTCCCTTGGAGGACTCGACAAGCCCCTTCCCTTTGACTCTACAGCAGCCCCACATGGTGTAGCACCAGTGTGCCTGGAACACAGCAGGTTCCCCTTGGGTGTTTCCTCTCCGGTTTGGGTGACCAATTGTTGATAATGATGTAGACACCAATGTTTCTGCAGAGATAAAGTAGGGGCGATGCTGCTGTGAGGGGTGGCTCAAGGGGTCCTTGTGGCCTCAGGTAGGTGTGGGATAGAGGGGTCACAGCTAGCTGTCCCTAGCTGTGAGCACTGGGAACAGACAAGGCCAGAGAAAGGGCATCTGAAGCCACCTCCATCATTTATCGTGATGGTGATGATGGTGATGTCAATGGTGGTGATGGTGATAATAAAGACAATGATGACGATTGTGATGGTGTGGAAGTAGGGTTGATGGATGATTGATGGTAGTGATGGTGGTGATGATGATAGTGGTGGAGGTGGGGAGGATGGATAATTGATAGTGATGATGATGTTGGTGGTGGAGGTGGGGTGGATGGATGATTGATGGCAATGATGATGGTGATGATGATGGTGGTGGAGATGGGG